TATCAAACTAGCTGACGATTGTTTAAATAACACTTCTTATAGAGAGATTATTTCTTTAAATAAAAGGAAGAAGCAGCAATGGGCTCTCCTTTATCTCCTGCTATAGCAAATCTGTACATGGAAAACTTTGAAACAAGAGCACTTGCCTCAAGTACAGTACATTAAAACCATTTTTTGGTTTAGATATGTTGATGGCACTTTGGTTGTCTGGCCACATGGTAAAGATACACTTAATGAATATCTAAATTATCTCAATGCACAAAACCAAATTGTTGCTGCATTGGCATTGTTGCTGCATTGGCACTCGTTCACCGCCCATGCTCCTGGTGCTGTTGATACACTTGGGCTATGCTCATCCCCAAACCCTTATAAACAGTTTCACTTTGGAGGCTGACTCCTTTGCCTGATGACGACCGCTTGTGTTGCGATCGAAACGCCGTGATTTGTTTTATTTTATTTCATATCTAACTACGTCACTTTATCGAAAGAACCAAAGATTATGGATTCCTGTAGTCACGAAAGCTTCAAATAAAGATTCAACTGATTACTAATCATAACATTTAACTGATTATTAATCTATATATATAATTACAATACCGCCTCCCTCTCTGCCTCTGATCTCTGCACCTGATTGGGTTAAATGATGACGTCACCCTGCTGCTCTCTTTAAGACCGGGAGCAGGTGGAGGGCTTCACTGTTCTGGAAAATTGCGCGCTGATGGTGGATGTAATTACCAGCGAAACGTTGTACTAAAAAATTGAAAATGTTGTGGATTCATTCTTTAACACACCGGTGGTCTTAAGTAGTGAACTATTTGTCTTTTGTCAACGTGACACATCTTTTACTCATTGGGTGGTGGAGAGTTGTGACACATTTATAAATAACGCGATCTAACCTAAAAATCTTTATGACAACAAGTGAGAATGTCCATCGGAAATCGGCAATGAGCATCGTAACGAGCACACCGAAATTGATCCCGTGACCTTAGTTGCCCGTCCTCTCTGGACCAATAACTCTCCACACAAACGAGCCTGACGTACTCCATGGTAACGTACCTGAAATTGAGAGCCACTTTTCAACACTGCCGGTCAGAATCGAAGACTGGCAGAGGAACGACCGAGATAATGCAAACATCATCCCCCATCAGCGCCTCGTCGTGTGTCCCCCCACCATTCAGACACGAGGAAGCTCACTGCAAGTGGGTAACTTGACAGAATCAGAATATTTACACTGGAGGAAAAAACCGATAAGTCGTGAAGCTCTCTTTCACAAATGTCCAGTAGTGACACGGGGTCAGAGAGTTACAACAACAAACAACAGCAAAAAAAACGATAGGAGTGTAAAGTATTATAAAAGTAAGCAAATCATCTACAAATAAATACCTAAAAACTTCACTTTTTATTTTACCAGCTAGTTGTTATTTTGCAGAAGCCCCCTGACTCCAAATGATTGCTCAACGAAGTGGCTTATGTTTAAATGTTTAGTGACCTTTGATATTTAGCAGGGTGGCCACGGCAGGTGCAATCACATTTTCCACAAAATAAGCGACTGATTGCCCCGCAACAAAAAGTGGAAAACATTATGTGTGTGTGGTGTGTCTGCGAGAGTTTCTTGTTCTGTGAATTCTATGGATCTCTGTGTGAGTCTCTACCCTAGTATAGATCTCTAGTCGGTGGGCCTCTGTGAAGCGATGGGTCTCTGTGTGAGTCTAATTATTTCTGAGTCAATTGGTCTCTTGCGAGCATATGGGTCTTTGTTCTGAGCCTATACATGAGTTTGTGAGTATATTTTTTGAACGAATGTCCACTGTGGGCGTTCTCCTAGGGCATGAGCGGTATTCGGTGCTTACTGTTCTCCGTAGCCAACAGCTGGACTAACAATTTAGACAGCGATTCATAGTTGCTGCTGAAATCGCACCTCACCGCGGTGGCGAGACATTAACTCTCTCGCCTGGTAAGCAAGAGGTTGTGCATTCGATCCCTATCCTGATGCCTGTATATTTGGGGTTTGCATGTTCACCTCGTGGTCCCGTGGATTTGTCTCAGGATCCTCCGGCTATTACATCTCCATTTGAAACCATGCGTTTAGATCCGTAGTTCTTAACCTGGGGTGCACGCACCCCCTGGGGTGTGAGATGCCCTTCTGAGGGTGTGAGACATGCCAATTTTTTTTAGAAGGTAAATAATTATGATCGAAAACTAAAATTCAGCACGGGCACATCAGTACAACTACATTTTTTAATCAAGCCTATGTACTTATTAACATACTTTTTTTTAGCGATTGAGAAAGAAAGAGTTAAGGTTGCAGTAAAGGTTAAGAACCACTGGCTTAGAGCATTTGGCTGATATAACTATGCACATAAGCCATTAAGTTGAGCTATCTCATTCATGGCCACGTCGCTTCTGAAAAAAGTAATATAGCTCAGTAGGCCGTACCTGGTTTAAATAAAAATATGAAATATGAAAGTATAGTGAAGAGTATATTGCCCCATTCAGCAGTGGCTGTAAATTATTCTTATTAAATGACTATTTTTTTACAAGTACACGCGGGCCATGGTGGGTATTTTGCCATACTTCACCACGTGAGTTATGGTGATGGACTTAACCGGAGGTTATTTTAGTTCGCTTGTCATCCCCTCAACGCTGGAGCGTACTGCGGAGTTGGTGAAGTGTGTGTGGGGAAGTTACTGCTGGCTCGGCACGGGAGCTTGTGGGTTCTTATCATGACTCCCGGCACAGCTGCACATGAAACCACTAACTTAAATATATATATACGTACACACATACTTTATTAATTAATTGCGCTTACAGCATTAGTTTCTTATTTATAGTGGCGCATGCACAATCGTCCGTGCGGACCCCATGCCTCACCACCAGTAAACGAGTTTTTTCTCCCACAGCCTCATCACCACCATCTTAGTCCATGAGTCCAGTGCAGATATTTCACTCGGCGGTTCCACTTGAGGTGGCATCTCTTTCGTAGCATCCGTATCTTTACGTGGTCAATAACGTAGTTGGATTATCAAGTAATTAACTCGTGGTCAATAACGGTGAAGTTGTGATTACCGTTTTACATTAGTGGGATTATCAAGTAATTCACTCCTATCGGCTACTCAGGTAGACAGTTGATGGTATTGCGTTGACAGTTGACAATCACAACTTACAAAAAACAATAGACTTTCTTCATAGTATTGTGCATAACTAGAGGTGACCAGAGAGATGGAGTCGATAATTAGAGTTGGAAACTGCACTTTGCACCATGGGGACCGATGGTAATCGCATTTTAAACTTATTTTGTAATCACCCGTGTTTAAACAGGAGCATGAATAGTCACCTAATAGTAGCCATCACTGAGTCGGACAAACCCTTCAATAATCAAAATGTGTTACTAAATACTCATTTATATTCAATAAAAATAGTAAAATGTTACTAACACATTGCATTATGGGAAGTTTTGTTCCTGTGAGCAGGGATCGCTGTAGATCCCCAGGGTGTAATTACAAACTCCTGGAGACCGTTAATTTTGCTTGCACTGCTCCTACCCCATGGATTTCCCCATCTTCATGAACTCAAGAACTGACTGACCATCCACAGATTCAAAATATAACTCAAAATGGTTCTCGCTCAGTCTGGCATCTACAGATGTAGATTAAGAACATAATGTCACAACTGTGTATGGTATTAGATTAATATTCTCGCTTTAATTGCACGGTTTGAAAGTTATATTAGAGAAGAATACTTTGTGTACACGCGCTTTGGTTTAGGAGCCTTTAATAAAATGCAGGCAGACCTGGCTTAGCGCGATCCCATACAACACTGTTTCGTTATGCGGGGGTCCTTGGCTTACGAACGGTTTACGCTGCTTCTACCGTCCGTAAGTCGATTTGCTCGTATCTCGGAAATCAACATTCAATTGTACATACGGGCAGTGATTTGGATGTGTTCTGGTTCAACAAAAAAGGGAAGCCGAATTAAACTCATAGGAACAAATGTGCGTATTAAAATATGCATATTAAATGAACTTACAAAATGTAATGTGAAAAGATAAATATCTGTTTTATTTTCACTTACCATGAGTCCTGATGATGGCTTGCTTGTCGGAAGGGGCGTTCCACGCCAGATTACATCTTGCAGAAGATCGCTCCGTCGAAGAAAAAAGTTCGTAAGTGCGATCGGATATTTGCAAGTCGGATGGCGAATTGTTCATAAGTCGGACGTTCGTATCTCGGGGACAGCTTAAAGTGCTCTGTCCCGGATAAATGCATTGCCCATTCTCTTCCCTCCCCTACGTTTACCTACTCTCTATGCACCCCGCTATTGTGACCACTCCGCCTCCATATCCGCTATGTGTAAGGCTACACGAGGAATATTTTGAGTTGTCCATTTCGCTGGAATGCAGGAGTTCATTGATCCGTTCCCGACTTTGACGCCTGTATATCTGGAGTTTGCACGTTCTTCCAATGGTCACGTGGATTTTTCTCCGGGCATTTCCCTCCACACGTAGAAACATGTGTTTAGAGTATTTGGCAGCTTCATGATAAGCCACTTCGTTGAGCTATTATTTGTGGCCAGGTCGCTTTTAAAAAAGAGCGATATAGCTCAGTGGGCCTTACCTGGTAAAAAAAACATACTGTGAGTATTGTTACCACAGTAATTCACATGGCGTTCTAAAACTAACTCTCCCCTACGTGGACTCAACCCTAAAATTTCGTACATTTTGTTAAAATTACTGCAATGTTCAACGGTAGTTCCTCTCCTGTAAATTAGTTCACGTGCTTTCATTTGCATTAATTACAGGCCCAGTTAGCGATAACCTCTTGACGTTAGCTCAGAAAAAACAAGTCTATGTGTGTATTGGGAGTAGTGGCGTCGCCATCACCACACACGATCAACCAACCAACCACCTTTGTGTCACTCCCATTGCATTAGAACGGTGCTCACAACTCACGTCATCGTCAGCACACCGCATGATAAGAATTTCAGGCCGAGCAGATCTACGGGAGCTGCCGAACAGATGTTGCAATTCCGCAATTTCCTGAGTGCATGTAGCGAGCAGTGAGTCCAAGTTCCCCATCGTGGTCACGGAGTGGAGCTGAGACTCGCAGAGGAGTTCACAGACGGGAGCGTCGATCCACATAATAAGAGCTCGCAAACTCCAGACAGCACCCCCTGCGTCACAACATTGGGGATGATCATCAGTTACACTGGAACGGCGCATTCAGGGGACGCCAATTTGTTTAACGAACCGATAATTATCACTGCTGCTGGTGGTGGCTTATATTTCTGTAGCAATCGATCATCATTTGAGTTCCACGGCTCGCCTCCACGTGTGGAGAATTGCTACCGATTAAGATTACAAGCCAGAGGAAGCGTCGTCTCGTTTTAATCGGTGACTGAACAGCTGCGATGGCCGTGGATTTAACGACCTCTGTGCCAGCAATCATCATCATCATCGCCGTGGTGATTTCAGGTAAAAATATATCTATCTCACGCTATGCCTCGGTTTGTGTTGTTATAAGTGGCGATTACACAGAGATATGTGCGTGTGTCCGAGTGTTTAAATGTCTGCACCGGTTTGAAACGTTCAGGCTGGTCTGCCGACGATAAATTATGGTTTCACCAGGCTGGATTATGTGTGCATCTAAATCCTTGAAAGATCTGGACAAAGTCTCATCAGTGAGCTCCTCCGGCAGGAAAGTCTGTGTTGGCTGGGTCATGTAGCCCGCGTGCCCAGCCACCGCATGCCCAAGCAGCTTCTGTTTGGCCGGGTAGAAGGGGCTAAACGGGCGTGGTACGGGCTAGAGAAGGATGTGGAGCTGATTGGTCTTGCTGATGACTGGTACCAGAAGTGTCAAGATTGGCCTCGGTGGAGGAGGCTCGTAAAAGAAACTGATGGGAAGCTGGAAACAGTCGCCTATCCAGGAACAACGAAGGGCAGAGGAGCAATGCGCACAACAATGAGCGGAGCGCCGTGCGACGAAAACACAGAAAGTTGGCACAGTAGGGGGCACAGGTGGTGCATCTAACAGTCATCTCAGTCCGTCAAACCATGGCACCTGCTGGGTTTGTTCTGTGACCTCCTGCCACGAACCTTCGACACTTCACGTTGCTCAAAATGCACCTGGCCTGGCACAGGGGATGTGGTGACGCCACCGCCACTTAATGAAAAATGGCGGGTATTTTTTCTTGTTATTATTTGGTCGACTCTCCCTCAAATGAGTACCTGGTGTGGTGTGTAGTAAACATCGCCACTGGAGAGACAAAGGCGACCGCGCATGGTTTTGACCACCCAATCCCTCGTGTGCCGTGCCGGCCGTCATAGGTGCTCGTGAACAGCACTTGCACCAACAGTCTGTTGGAGGGTACACGGAGGATCTTTGTATTGTCTTTGCGTTTTGGGCCACTGTCTAGCATGTGAGATTCACTGTCGTGTGATTAACGCCCTTTACTTAACCTCCTGAGTCAATTGAGATTATAACTGACGGCCTTTATTTAACCAGGTGAGAGCCCCCATTGCGATGCACTGTCTCTTGTAACTGACTGCCTTTCTTTAACCAAGTGCGAGCCCATTGCGATTCACTATTTTGTTATGGACGTCCTTTATACAACCTCGTGTGCGTCCATCGATATTAACCGACTGAGCCAATAGAGATGCAATATCTCTAATAATGTCCTTTGTTTAGCCTAATCTCATCCACAACATGTGCCTCTCATTTTCTGTTCTGGACTTCTGCATCGCCTCCTGTCTTTCTACAATGTTCCAGTCATTCGTCTCAGACACCTGCACTCAAATGGTAGCAACTTCTCTTCAAGCAGCTGAGTTCGGGGCTGGCTTTGTGCAGCGACGGATTAAGGTTATTTTAGGAACTAGGCACTTCTTTTTCGTCAGCCATCAGTGATAACTTACTACAGTTGGTTCTGCTTCCTCATATCACTACTACCGCCGCTGTCACTCCCTTTATAGTGCGAAAAACACAATTTGAAGATGTTATTTATAATTTTGCAATAAAAAAATCTCAAATATAATCTTTGGTCTTATTCTATTCCACCTTATGAAAAAGAAAATTGCGATTGACATGACTCTCCTCTTCATATACATATACGCGGTGCCTATCATTGTTTTTTTATATTTATTCAAGAAGATATCTTGGTGACATTTTTTTTTATCATACAAACAAAAACATGGTAAATTATTTTGTAGGTCATTTAGGTTTGTGTAGGCCGTAGGCTGAGTGCCTACTGCCTACTCTGCGTATTGGATAATACGGCCCTGGCTCTGTGTTCCATACCGTAACACAGAGAGTACTGTTCCCTCACATACCAGCACACCATGGTCGACCCCCCCCCCCCCAACTTGCTGAGTGCTACATTTCTGCTGGCAAAAACAGTGTGGCCAACAGTGCGCGGGATAGAAGCACACATAAGATGGGTTCATCAAAATAGGTTTGGATTAATTTAATCAAATGATGTTCATGTTGCTGTGATGCCACAAAAAAGGTGGCATGATGTTGGCTGATGATGGCTGATCGTGCCCCGTGTTTCATCGCTCCCCTTCTCCACTGCTGCTGCAGGAGTCATTGCTGCTGATGATGATGAGAAGACGAAGACCGTGTGTGAGAAGGAGCTCTCTCATTGCTCCAAGGAGTATAACGTGTGCGGGGTTGAGGGGGACGATCTGCTAGTCAGATGCCCACTGCCTCCAAACACGGGCCTCCCAGATTGGATACTCGTGCAACTAATACAGCTACCTCCAGCAGCTGCAGAAACCATAGTGGGTCTCTCTTCACCTGTTGCTCTGTGTTCCCGTTTGTGAGTAGCGTGAGTGCTGCATGTGCATAGCAACTAGGTTTGCTGTGGTATAATTTTTCATAACGCTATGAGTTAGCTATACCATTCTACAATCGTGTTTCGCCCGACATTGCGATGGCCTGATATCATACGTTTAAAGGATTCTAATTGTATCCCGTGCAACCAATACAAATGAGCACTGGGGAGATATGCTTTTGATTAATCTTTTCAGTCAAAACATATTGGTCATAATCAGCTTTGATTGTGTGAGGAGATTACATATCCTTCAAAGATCTGGACACGGTCCCATCATCAATGAGCTCCGACAGATGAGGCTGCGTTTTCTTGGTCAAGTAGCCCGCATGCCCAGCCACTGCATGGCCAATCAGTTGTATTTGTTGTTTTCACACCACAGTGGCGAGAGGGAGGTGGTGGCGGTGAGCACTCAGCAGACACTCTGGATGCGTTGCCACGCCCACTTCTTGACTCTCTTTTTAACCACGGACCCCATCTGCACCACGACCACGCACATTCCCCCCCACCTGACGATGTGTTCCCACCAAGGGTGGAGATTGGCGGTTATCAGAGCTAACAGACCGGGAACCGCTGGGGGTGCCAAGGGTAAATTGTGCCGCTGTTCTTTAAAAGCCTAAAAGTTAATGGTGTCTCTCTCGTCTCTCCCCAACCCTTCCAACTACCGCACCAGGTTGGCAACTACCACAGCAGTGATCCAAGTGCCAAATCAACCAACTTGTCCTTTGAGTTCACCGCTCTTGAAATGAACTCTGCTATGTTTGTTGCCCGGAATGCAAACACAACACAGGGTGGAGACTACCGCTGTGAAGTGTTGAGCAGCAGAAGGAATAGCGATATACAAACACATTTTCAAGTTAAGCTCTACAAAGGTACACGCTCAAATTTACAAATGCACTGAATATTTGATCAAAGTGAATGTTTGGCTTTTTCTAAAACATTCAGTGTTGGCTGGATCACGGGAATCTTGCATTAAACCAACCTTACTCACACTTTCATTCCAGCATATGAACAGAAGAGGGTGTTTTCATCAAATATTACTCCTCTCTAGGACTTTCTTTCGCTGCATTTACGTGGTGGTGCCTTTGTCTTCTCTATGTATTCATGCCTGCCTGTCTAGCTCTATGTTCTGTGTCTCTGTCAGTATCTGTCTGTATCAAATAGCATTCGCGTATAAATTATACAACGTTTTTAGATTCAATCAGAATTAATAATACTATATACTTATAACGTCTGTTGCTCTTGCATGTGTAGTGTAGCACAAGTCGGAGACAAGGTAGTTGCAGGAGGCAACATCTTTTATTGTAACACCTTTCCGGCCGTTCAAACACAGGATCACCTCCTTTCTCGCTCATGTTGCTGTACAGCCCAGCCTAGGCACAACCCTAACTGCGATGCATTGACGGCGTCGACCGAGACAGCCAACAAGTGTCCGGCCACGGAAGTATCGAGTGAAGGCGGCAGCGACGAAGGCGGCAAAGACGACAGCAACGGCGAGACGAGTCCACTCCCAGAACCGACAGCCCGGAGCTCTCGCTCTCCGCTGCTTTTATTATACTCGGAGCGACCTGGCTCCGCCCTGGCCGCGCCTCCATTTTCGAACCCACTAGCGGGTTCCAGGGGCTTCCCGATGAGGACCCTTGCCCCAGTTCCTCCTCCTGCAGGCACATTCGTAATTATGCTCGATGCCGTGTGCGCTAACTGTCCACCACAGTTGCCGCTGCTGGACAGCAGTCTGCGCTATGTCACTACACATGTATAACATTTCTCTCTTTTTCCCTGTAAATGTGCATCTGTCTCAGCCCTGTCCATGTCTGTCGAGAGATATCTCAGCTGTAGAGAGAAACGTATTAGCTGTAAAGGGTGGTGATCTTTATCTCTCTGTCTCTGTGTCTCAGCCCTGTCTGTGTCTGTAGAGAGAGATGTCTCAGCTAATGAGCGAGGTAACATCACTCTGTGGTGCAACATCACGCGACCAGAGCATGAGGAGCGTGTGTGTGGTGTCACATGGACACTCCCCTCTACATCGGTGACCGTGAGCCTCAACGTGAGTGTCACAAATGTAATGGATATTTACACTGTCGCTAATTGGTATAACTGTGTGAATGTGTAGTGAGTCCAACTGAGGCAACACATTTATTGTAACACGTATATACAAAGGGGTAACTTCCCCTTTACCAGACACAGCCTCGGGTGGTGACCACCCAGCTAACTACACTATACGTAGGAGTTACAGCTACGAAGGGTCGGACCCTCACTCGAGTCCTGGCCACGTGTTGATGCATTGCGTCGAGCTTCCAGCTTATACAACGAAGCGACCCCGGTCCATTTCAGGGACCTACGTTATATCCTCCTGGGTCGGGGCCGGCTCCACCCAGGCCCCGCCCGCCTTCTCGAGCATTCTAGCTCCCTCTCGACCCCCCTCGAGAGCTCTCCCCGGACACGTGATCACCCCCTAGCCCCCCCACCTGGGGCCCTCACTGTGGACACTCCGGATCACGTGTCTAGAGTGCCATGGCCCGGGGAAACCCTGTCCCTGGGCTGACACTCTCCCGCTCCCTCTTGTGGGAGCCCGCACTACATGCTATGTGTGGTGCCCACGTTATCCCAGCGCTCACCAAGCCCCACTAGGGCTGGTACAACACCCATCTACGGGGTGTACGCAATGACGGTGCATCGCATGCCGTGCTATAGTAAAGCTGGCACCACACAGCAACCCACCCGGTGCTTATACTCTTAGTTCTTTCGGTAAAGTGCTGTCTGCGACATAGGAACATCGCACACCACGACCCTCCCGGGCCGGCACCATACAGTGACATCCCCGATGTCACTACATATGTGTTAACAGTAAGGCACAGATACTGCAGTTTTAAACATTTAAACAGTGCTTCAGTTTGGGTCCTTTCTAGAACTATATCCCCTCCCATAACCCAAGTCCTGGCCTAACTTCACTGGGTTCATATCCACAAACATGTTGACTACAACAGGGGTCCTCAAACTACGGCCCGCGGGCCACATGCGGCCCGCCGAGGACATTTATCCGGCCCATGGTCACTTATTGGGCTGCGCTTGTGAGCACTCATTGGGCTGCGCTGGTGAGCACTGATTGGGCTGCGGTGGCGAACACTGATTTGGCTGCGCTGGTGAGCGCTGATTGAGCTGCGGCTGTGGGCACTGATTGAGCTGCGGCTGTGGGCACTGATTGAGCTGCGGCTGTGGGCACTGATTGAGCTGCGGCGGTGGGCACTCATTGGGCTGCGCTGGTGAATGGTTCAATGGGCCAATTGACTGGACTTGCCCCCCAGGCCTAAGGCTGCCAGCCCTCCCCTGGCTGCGCTTAACTGGCTCTCCCTCTCTCAGCTCCCTCCCTCAGCTCCCTCACTTGCCCCTCGGCTCCACTCCCAGTGATATTCCTGTGTGCTGGGGATCTACAGCACCGCTGAGTAAATGATAGAGGGGTAATAACAGAGTGATCTCTGATCTCTGGATGGGCTGCCTGCTGTTTTCGTGCTGGTCAGTGACAGACAGCCGAGGAGTAGGAAACCCAATTTAAATGACAGTAAGTGCATTTATATTCTGATTGCTATTCAGTTGTATGAGGTTATATGTTGTATGTTGTGTAAGCCCCGGTTCATACTGTTGCGATCTCTGAGCAGTGCGAGTTCAGCCATATGCTTGTATGGCTGAACTTGCATTAGATTCGGAAGAAAAAAGGCACATGTGCCTTCTTTTTTCCTGCAGTGGAATCGGATCGCATGGGTCTTCTCCCCCATGCGATCAGATTCCTATGCGAGTTCGCAGATCGCACTGCGATCTGTGAATAAAACTGCAGGTGTAATTAACTTTTTAATGGCACCCGCACCTGTGTGAGCCTGGGGTTAAAGCGGAGTTTCCCCAATCAGACTGCATTGATGGGTAGTGCAGTCTGTATGTCTCTGTGTGGGCAAAGTTATTGCTGGTATATTGTTTTTGTAGCGCTGTATATATATATTGGTATTTTACTAGTAGCAATTTTGACTCCCTAGGAAACAATGATGTCAAGAAAAAGAAAAATTGACTCAGAGTGTAGGATATTCAAAGAACATTGGACTTATGATTACTTTTTCATGCAGTACAAGGCAAGAGCTGTGTGTCTGATATGCCAGAATATAGTGTCTGTGTTCAAAGAATACAATTTACGTCGACACTATGAAACTCAACATAAAGATAAATATGATTGTTTGGTCGGAGAAGTGAGAAAAGATAAAATATTAAAACTGAAAAATACATTAACAACACGGCAAAATACTTTTGTGAAGCAGAAGCAGCTAAATATTTCATCACTGCGAGCAAGTTTTCAAGTTGCCAAGCTAATAGCGTGCACTGGCACACCATTCGTGGAAGGAGAATTTGTTAAAGAATGACTTCTTTCTGTTGCCAAAGAGATGTGTCCAGAGAAGGCCGATTTATTTAGTACAGTGAGTCTTTCAGGACCTACAATTACACGGAGGATTGAAGAAATGGGAGACAATTTGCATCAGCATTTGCACAACTCCACAAAAAACTTTCCTATTTTTCCTTGGCACTCGACGAAAGCAATGATGTTCGTGATTCTGCACAACTTCTAATTTTTATTCGTGGGACGAATGACTATTTCGAAGTCACAGAAGAGCTTGCTGCACTGCAAAGCATCAAAGGAACAACTACAGGAGAGGATATCTATGAAAAGGTTTGCCAAAATGTGAATGGTTTGGAGCTGAACTGGGCTAAACTAGCCAGTGTGACAACTGATGGTGCTCCTAGCATGGTGGGGTCTAAGAAAGGAGTAATTGCTCGCATTAACTAAGAGATGGACAAACATAACCATTCTCATCCAATAGCCATACACTGCCTCATCCACCAACAAGCGCTGTGTAGTAAATCACTGAAGTGGGACTCTGTTATGAAAATTGTGGTATCTTGTGTTAACTTCATTAGAGCTCATGCACTAAACCACAGACAATTTCAGGAATTTCTGTCTGAGCTAAATGTTGACTATGAAGATGTTTTGTACCACACAGAAGTCCGTTGGCTGAGTCGAGGGAGAGTTTTGAAACGTTTCTATGACTTACTTCCACAGATTACAGCTTTTCTGCTTTCAAAAAACAAAGAAGTACCAGAGCTCAATGATGCAGAATGGAAATTGCACCTTGCCTTTCTGACAGATGTAACAGAGCTACTCAACAGTTTAAATGTGCAACTTCAAGGAAAGGGGAAGCTCATCTGTGATATGCAATCACATGTCAAAGCATTTGAAGTAAAATAAGGCCTCTTCAAACAAGTGAAGGAGGAAAACTTCTGCCATCTCCCCACAACTCAAAATTTGTTAGCGGAAAAACCATTGGTTGCATTCCCAAACAAAACATGTGTGGATTCACTGGAAAAATTGCAAAAGGAGTTCCAATTTAGATTTAAAGAGCTTCATCTCCATGAACAGGACATACAGCTTTTCTGTAACCCATTTTCTATTGACATCGAAAATGTGGATACAATTTACCAAATGGAACTGGCTGAACTACAGAATTGTGACTCTCTGAAAGACGCATTCAAGTCAAGCAGCCTTCATAATTTCTATGCATCTCTCCACTCTGAGACATATCCTCATCTCAGGAACCATGCACTCAAAATGGCAACCATCTTTGGCAGCTCTTATGTCTGTGAACATACTTTTTTCAGAATGAAACATTTGAAATCTCCAACCAGATCTAGACTAACAGATGCACACTTGCATCACTTGTTACGACTAGCAGTGACAAATATGGAACCGGACATTGACCATCTCATTAGCCAAAAGCAGGCCCATAGTTCCCATTGAAATACTGGCAAGTTTGTTGATTTAACTTTACTTGTTCTTCATTTTAAATATTGTATTTGTTCCCGTTTTGTTTCTTCACTTCAAAATAAGATATATGCAGTGTGCATAGGAATTTGTTCATATTTTTTTTAACTATAGTCCGGCCCTCCAACGGTCTGAGGGACAGTGAACTGGCCCCCTGTTTAAAAAGTTTGAGGACCCCTGGACTACAAGATCATAGTCCTTGAATTTAAATTCATCCATGGCCTTGCCTTTCCTTTGTACCTCTGCAACGTTCTCCACCTCCACGTCTCAGCAGCCAACCTTATTTCTTTAAAAAATGTAGTTTCCGTTATCAATACATATGTGGGGCCCGACGTCCACCCCACCGCCCCTGCTGGGCAGGTGGGGCGCGACATCCGCCCATTCTACTCTCCTCCACCATGTCGGTCGGCTCCCACCGGGCCCCCACAGACTGAATGACGGGGCCCCCCACGCTAACGCCCTCTTTGAGGGACATGCTAGTGCTGCTGGCTTCGGAGCCGCATGGGGTTAAAGCACACGCCCGTGCAAACCGCAGCTGTCGCTAACAGAGAGGCCGCGAAACGCGCTATCACCTGTGAGAGATTAACTATCAGCTACAGCGACCGCACGCTTCCACCTGCATGCGATTAACTCTTAACGTGCATGCCCGCGCACACTGCGGCCCCGCTAACAACAGGAGGCTGTGAGTGCGTTCACACCTGCGCGATTACCTCACTCGGGTAAACATGGTAGCGATCCCGCGATCACCACCCCATGTTCACTCTCGCCGCACGTTCCCTCACTGCTACCCTGGATTCAGCTTGCACACGCAGTCGCTCCACACAGAAATCGCAGACCCCACACCACCTATGCTCTGTGCTAACTTTTATTCTCGGTGCAAGCCACAATCCCTTAAAGTAAGCTACTCAGTCGGCACTATGCGGGGGGAGTATCTTGCGAACAAAACCTAGCCTGCTGGTGTCTATGCTCCCACTCACTCAAGCATCCTATCACGTACCTCGTAGCTGTACTTACGGCATTGCACGGACGCTGTGAGAGGCAGAGAGGAGAGGACGAGAAAGCCTTGCCTAACACTGCCTCGTAGTGGCACTCTCTGGCGTCACGCAGACGCTGCAAGAGGCTGAAGAAGGCAGGACGGCAGGGGGGTCTTGACGGCTAAGATGTTGAAGATAAACTGTTCGAATGGCCCC